CGCCGTTAACCATTCCGTTTCCATTAGAATGTAACGCGTATGTGAACAAGACGGCGTTTAGCAAAAGACTGCCGCTACAACATAGACGAGTGGCCTTAAATGAAAATGAAAGTATATTGCCAGAACCTATTACAGCCACTGAAAAATGTTTGCATAAAAGATATAAAATGCTTAGGACGACGAAGAAGATGATAATTGAGACACTTGACAGTTTTACTTTGCGTATACTTGATACTTGACTTTATTAAGAGTTGAATATAGGATAAGTTAATGATATGCTGCGTGAATATGAGGCGTTATTCTTATTACTATTCTTATTACAATTATTACTATCTTATTACTATATAAGCAGCGACGAATAATTCTAAAGGATTTCTTAAAAATATCTCATGCTGACCTAGCTTCGCTATATCTACAACTTTGCCTATCTATTTGCTGGCGACATTTTCAAGGACTCGTCGCATAGAAACAAAAGTTTGGATTCTAGATTTTACTCTGTAAAAGAACTACGATAACGAAAATAAGAAGAAGAATCTCTTTTGAACGAGAGTAGAGCGATAAGGTTAGATGTCAAGAATGAATGCAACCTTTATAACCATAGTCGATAATTAGAGCCTAAATATTTTGCGAGCGCTTAAGCGTAAGCAAAGCAGTGACATGGACTGCAATTCAATATGAAACTTTAATGAAGTTCATATACGGTTCGGTTTACTCAAGAGATCACGAGAGAATTTAATTTACTTAAGAAAGCCCGGAAAATTATATATTGTTGAAATTTATAAGCCTTGTTTAGCTTTATCAAGAATTATGAAGAGGAACGAAAAATTAATGAAAATTTTAAACCACGGCCATCGGGATAGAGAAATGTTGTTAGGTTGTGATTGATAGAACCGATAGAATCATTTTTGAAAGCCTATTGAATATCGCGAGGCAATTGACTAATTGATCCGTTCAAGGAACTACGCATTAACTTTGTAATTACCTTAGTTAGTTGATTAACCAGGACTTTGTTTCTACTGTTTGTGCAATGCGAATGTAATTCTCTTAATTGTTTTAACCGTTATGTAACTTGTTAACTTTCATTTATTTATATGTTTAATATGTTGTAAGATTTTTGTTCAATTGTGTTGTTGCTAACCGCTTAAATTTCTATTTTTGGTTAACTAAGGGCTTTCAGTTTGCGGTTAGGTATAGATGCGTACGTGTTTGAGTGTATATTTTGCATGTCGGCCTTAAGTTTTCAGTTCATAATTAAATTTCTTTTACGCCTTGGCCAACCATTAAAATGGTACTAAGTCTTAACGTTCATAATCATACATTAAGCACATTAACTTAATAGAGCGAATGAAAGGAAGGTCCCTTCTGCGTTAAGTCAATTATTTAATGTGAAATGCGTTTACATTTTCATATTAATATAATATTTTACTTATTTAAAAACAAGTAAGAAAATTATTTAAGGGCATGGCCGAGCAGAGAATACCCTACACCATACTGTCTAATACAATTCTTATTTTTTATTAAAGAATACAAAAATTCTATCTTGTTTCTACGCAAAGGCATGTTCTTTATGCGCGTATTTATCGGGAAGCGGGCCCAAAATGCAACCTAATACAGTGCAAGTTTAATGCTTACATAGGGTGAGATCCAAAAGTAGGCGTAGATGCTTCAAACTTTTTTGTAAAGTTCATTTCTTAATACAAAGGATGAATTTTTGTGGAAATTCGCATACGCGGGTAGGATCCAAAAATTAGCCTGAGATGGTTCAACTTTGATACAGTCAATTTTTTTATGTTAAATTTCGTATTATGATATAATCTTTAACATGAAGCATTGAAAATTATATCTTTTTGTCGTATAAGCTTCAGTTTTCGTTATATAAGAAAGGGTTCAAAAATTGCCCCAGCCTGGCCAAAGTTTTCATATCAAATTGGAATGTCGAACTACTATTACTTAGTCATTTCTCCCGAGAAATTTTGAAAATTGAAAATTTTTCTTATCTTACGATTTTTCAGAATAGGACGTTACATAGGAAAGGAGTTGAAAAAGTGAAACGATTCGAACCGTTTTCAATAGCGTTCGTCCTTGGGTCAAGAGACGTCACTGTACCAAATTATTTTAAAAATTGCGATCCATAACTTAAACACATATATACATGGACAGATATCAGGCGGACAGACGGACAGAGAGGCTTAGATTAATTCAGACTATGATTTTGAATTGATCCGTATAGTAAAAGATGGGTCTATCTTAAGCCCTTCTGCGTGTTACATACGTTTGCATTAACGTAATAATAGAGTATCAGCGAGCAGCCGTAATTAATCAATATAGGCCGGATGAATATGTGAATACGTATATGTTACGTTTAGAGAAAGTTCCAAAAAGGAAGGGGAACACAAATTTACGAAACTTAGATAGCCTGCAATTCGATGAAAGTTATTTTAAATGTCAACCTTGTGAATCCAAATGTCTCGCCCGACCCAAGGACGAAAAAAATTGAAACGAATCACAATTGAATCTAGCGATCTGCCAATCTAATATTTAAGAGAAATATTTGCCGATTGGCCTAGAGACATGTGTTTTCGGATGATGAATCATAGATTATAAGTTTATTCAATCAGCTTCGCTTGTATGTTCCCCTTCTCTGTCATACGTGCCCTTCTTGCGTTCATAGGTGGTCCTTTTATCAATCTACTTTTCAATATTTTCTTGGTCCTTCTATGCTATTAGTCATTCCGTCTATCCTTCCGTCCACTTACTACTATTTCGCTTTGGACGTTTAGAAAAAATTCAAGTGAAAAATTTGAATTTCACACTAACATTGAAAGATAGCAGCGAAGTGAGTATGGACAGACGCCTATATATATATATATATATATATTCTGTATATTTTCTCTGTCAGTAAGCAAAATAAATTCCTGTATAGTTTGAAGTATGCGTGCGGATATTTTCATTAATTTGTCCTCGAAAAAATATATAGCGTGCGAGCAACATCTCACACAATCACCCATAGTATAATAAAAAGCAGAATAATAATCCTTCGATTAATGTGAATGCGGCACAGTCAATTTACATTTTTTCATCATTTTAACGAATGTTTGCTTAATAATTTAATTGTCTATTATATGGTTACGGAGCTAATGATTTATATTTGAATTTATATGATCGCAAAGTTCTAATTGTTTAGTAGCTATGTCGTAACATGAGAGCCCGCTTATAAGTCTGTTTGATAATAAGATGGCCTCACAAGCACATCTGTACTTGCCATCTATAATTTACTCTTAATTACTTTGAATTACATCACCGCACTATCTCAGTTCTATTGAAAATGCTTTGAAATTTTCTCTATAAATGTGTATGTATTCATTATATATATATATATATAATGATGCGAATTCTTTCATTTTATGCTTTTCATATTTGTGAAAAGTTCTGCTAACGTTACTTTGTTGTCACAGACAAAAAGTGTGCCATGTAAGGTTAACCTATTAATATGATTTGTTATATCGTGCGCTGCTTGCTGGACGAAAGCATTTTAGGATGTATGCAACATCCAGAATGACGATGTGTTTGTTTCCTATACTTTCGTTACATTGAACGATCTAAGTAAGTCTGGATAACTGATGTCTGTCCGCGTATTTTTGCATTCAACGTACATATATCGCAATTGTTGAGACATTTTATAATGGACCGACGATGAATTCTATTGAAAACTGCATCGGACTGCATTTACGACCAATTCCCTCATAAGGCTTTATTTTGAAGAGGTCTTTATTTACCCTCGAGGAAACCGGTGCAAATGGCTATTTTGACTCATTAAATGAGTGTAGAAATTTTGGATGGGGTGAGACCATCTATTTAAAACCCTTTTCTTATAAATATTCTGATAAGAAAGAAATCTTACAACAAGGTCTAGTATTTTATGATAAAAATAAGTGCAAAATAGTTCATACGATATATAAATATACTATGCCAAAATCGGACCCCATTGGTCTATTTGTTGCATCTCTTTCCCGATAAGGGCTCCCATTAACAACGAGCTTTTTCGTTTACGGCAAGATCTTAAGTGATTATAATAAATTTGATGCATGTTGGTTGCATTCTTCGATTGTCTCGTTTAGAACACTTTTCGAAATTTCCCAATTTTAAATTCTTGAGAACACTTTGCAAAAGTTGACGTGGCATGCGTAGTGTATTTTATTGTCATATTCGTACGATGCCTAGCGTTTTAACTTGTTTTAAGATTTAGGAAAAACTAAAACAACTCTTCCCAGCGACCATTTTTATGATTTTTTATAAATAATTTTCAAAAATTAATTTAAAAAAAAAATTGCTATTAATGTCCAGTTGGACTAAAAGCAAATTAAATTTGTGACCGGAATTTCTACTTTGTGTATATGCCCATGTATATTGTAATATGAAGTTAGATATGTGAGGAATTGTACCAGTGTGTATGATCAGAGATTACGATACGGTGTCTCAGCAAGCAAGATCGTATTGAATTTCACGTGATTTTTAAGCTGTTATTATATAACTGTCATTGAGATGATATGTGATAAATATAACTTGTATCAATTGGGTCTATTTTACACATCACAGCAAATTTTCGTCAGTTGATTTGCTGAATAGAAGAAGAAGAAGAAAAGGGAGGAGAACAACAAATTGCACACTGATTCAGCGAATTGAGTCGTTACGAATGTTGCTGACTAACTCGCCTAGACATGAATTGGAAGCTACAGATGTGCACTTGAATGAATATTTCTTTTCAGTAGAATTTGCTGAATAGTTTATGTAATGGTATAAATATATTGTCGGGTGTATGCACTTTTGTTTTTGACAATTACGCTATTTATTGTACTATATAACAAATATCCGAAACGAAAAGACATATATTCAAATTTCAAAAGCATGGAACATATTTCATACAAATAGTGTTTTCCTTACCAATGCGATAATAATAATAATAATAATAATAATAATAATAATAACAATAATAAACTTACCCAATATAGCGCGTAAGTGTCCTTCAAGTGTTTGGAGAATTGTTTGTTTGATTTCATTAACGCTTTTGCCCAAAAATTGTTCGCTGGCTGTACCCAATAATTCGTCGGCCTGATGATGAAAATAATAAACATTCATCATCTGATTTAATAGCAACGGTAGCCAAATTTTAATTGTTATCGATTTGTACGTTGGATATGGATGATAATTTATATGATGCACATATGATGATAATGGAGGTCGAGAGAAAGACAATGTTGCGATAGAGATAGATAGATATATAGAGCGAACGAGAGCGGTAGCAGTGATGATAGTGGTAGCAGTTTATTTTACATGTAAATTTGCGCAAAAGCCAACAAGAAAACGCCAGCAACGCGCAACATATGCATTAAATAAATGGAAAAAAGAAGAGAAAACATATATAAACTTTAGAATCGTATCGTAAAAAACTAAGTAAAATATAATTTAAACGCATTCAAATTTAATCGTAAGCTTAAGATAAAATATACATTTACATATGCATTTATATGTAATGTAATGTTTGTCGTATCATACATACCTTCTAATATAAAAAACTCTTTTTTTTTAAAGGAAATTTTTCAATAAATTCTACTACATGTTGCCAACACACGGTATACTCAGATAAATATTAAAATGAAAAATAAGAAAAAATAAATAAATAAATAAATAAATAAATAATTTTATTGAAATAGATTCTTTACAAAATATATAAAATAATAATTAGCAGCAAAATAAATTTAATTACATTAAAATAAAATATAATAATATAAATAAACGACAATCACTTACCTCCTCGTATTTATCGTAAGAGCTTGACTGTATTTTAAATAAGAAAAAAAAGCAAAAGTATAAAAGAAAATATATATCGAATTGAAATTACAATTGAATATGTGATGAATAAAATAACAAAAGAAATTAACTAAGAATGACGAAAAATAGCAATATTCGCGCCTACAATCACAACCTGAGATACACACCACACATTACACATTTTTATTTATTTATTTCTTTATTTTGCTTGTTTTTTTTTTT